AATTGAAAGTGACAAAAGGAGTTCATCTCTACTAGATTTGTTTAGATTCACTGTCCAGATGTAGGGCTGGGTGAAGCTTAGCGTTCTTGTTTGAGAACAAACGGGTGTTGGGTTTGAAGTTCCGGCTCAAAACTCTTCTAGTGAAGCAAGTTCTTCTGTAAATCTTTGGCCATCAAAATTAGCAGAAATATCGGAAAAATGTGTCTTGTGAGCAGAACTTCCAACATCTTGAGCCAGATGCCACAAGAAGGTCTCATGAGACCGTCAGTAACGCTGAGTTGCGTCGCAGTTTGAAAGCAAACTCGGATGTGGCCAACCAGCCACATGCCTTCTGGAATCCCTGGCAGTAGGTACTCAGTTTTCTACCCTTCATTTTACTGCAGGATCAAAACTTGGTTCTGTGGGACGGAAGTGCCCAAACAGCCATGCTGCGAACATGCACCTCTGCAGCTTGCATCCCTCTCTATTACTGTGGGGCTCCAACCCATTACCAAAACCTTTGCAAACTGAATATTGCCGTAACAACCTGAAGCCCTACAGAAGGTTATTTGTCTCCTCCTTGACCTTTCAGGAGATCTGTATCTTGCTCAAGCCCCCTTCTGTAATCCGGTTTTTAAAATATAATATTATGCTACTGGAAGGGATCAGACCTTTAATCTGATTCTGCGTGCATGTGTGTTTGTGCATGTACGGGGAAGCGCCTGCATTAACAGGCGCCCAGCAGCAGCTCAGAGATGAGACAAAGGAAAGGCAGACCGCGACTCTGCTCCTGCTGGGGCTGCAAGTGAGCACCTGAGTGGAATTATTAACTTCAGCAGGCAGATGGGGAAATCCTCTACATAGCAAGGACCTGCCCCCTTAGCCGATCTCCTTAACAACAGGTTCCTTCCCACTGAGGTCATGCAAGAGTTGGGCTCTTACTGATGAGCAGTTTAGAGGGGATGCTGTTGTAACTGCTTCAAGAGTTTCCCTTCCAGTGAGTTTAGGTCCCTGCCTTCAGCTCTGTTAATCACCGTGCCAGGCCAAGCACCCACGTTTTAGGCATTAATACATGTATGTTGGTATCCCTGAAGTGCACGTTCTGGTTCTTGACCTGAGATCCTGCAAGCTGGATATTGTTTTGCCTGCAAGGGAAGGATCTTTAATTGTGCGTTGGCTCTGCCTGGTGGGGCCCGGAGCCTGTACGTTTGTTGCCCGTTCTGTATATGGCAGGATTACTGTGAGCAAGCTAGGTAGCGTGTAAACCTGGAGGAAGAAAGAGCCGTTTCCCCAAGGGACTTGCTGTCTTTCGAAAACACTGTTCTCGTGTATTTTCAGCAAGCTGAACACACAGAGCCCTGTGAACAGCCCTGTGAACTGGGCTGAGGGGGAGAGTCTCATTTCTGTGCTGTGCCTGTTGTTTAGGGTACGCTTTGCACTGCTCGGCCTGAGCCACCTACCAGGCTTTGCCTGCGACATGGGCTTTGATGGGCGCTGGACTGGGCCCTTTTTACGGGGTGTGAGCACAGGAGTCCTGGTCAATGGTTAGGATTGAAAAACTAGGGATAGGAATGAGGAATCAGAGACAGGTTAGTCAAAGGGACTTGAAACACAAAGTGGAGGGCCAGCGTTGGCCACCTGAGAGCCCTGGGACTGCCCTGCACAGGTGTGAGGCCTAATCTAAGCACAGGTGCTCCCTGGTTTGCAGAGGTGCGAGCGTTTGCTGGGTGATTGGGCTGGCTCTGCTGAGGGTAACATCCAGGCAGTGCACAGTTTGTGCCTTCAGAAGAAGGTAAGTGGTTTGGCTGAATTTTTCAGGTAGCTGATTTCTGTAGAGAAGCAGTTGCTAAGGCGTTCCTAGGAGTTTTGTGGCAAGCGGGCAAGGCAGGGGCAGCTAATGGTTTGCCTGCCTGGTGTTACAGGGCTGGTGTCACTGGCTCTGGTTTGGCTGAGGGGGTTTCTGTGGTGGAGGTGGGCTGTGCAGGAGGGACAGGGGAGCCCCTGAAGAACTGAGACTCAGTTAGTTTGCTCTCATGCAGGCACAAGAAAGGTGCAGGTAGCAGTTACCTGCTGCGGGACTAAGGTTGGTGTTTCGTTCTCCTGATGCGGCATGGTGCAAGAAGGGACATACTTCTGTGGTCTAAGCAGAGCCTTCTGCAAGTATGTCCCTTACTAGACAGTCCGCACAGCCACCGCAGTCTGATTGCAGCCGGGTGGAACTGTACTAAGCAGTCAGCTTGGCTTGCAGTGTTTTAAAAAATTGCTTAAAGCCTTGATCTAAACAGAAGAGTAGCTCAATTCTTCATACGAAGTTCTGGTTACCCATTCGCTCTTTCTGTTATCATCCCAGCTGGGACTGAGCCCCAGCTATGAGCTGCATCGCATTGTGCCAAGCATAGAACAAGTCTGGGACAAAAAGGCATGCTCCGTTTCAAACCACCTCTGCAGACAGGCAGTTCTCCTAGGGACAGTTTGCTGTGTTAAAATATGTTTCAGCCTGTTTGCCTTATCTCCAGTCTTTCCTCCCTTTCCTCTCAATGTCATCTTGGTAATCAGTTTGCCTTCCGCAAGGGTATTCTGGCCAAGTCGTGTTTCCCTGGGATCTTGCCTGACTGCACAGGTAGACTGAGCTGAGTTCAAAGCCTGTATAGTATACTTGTCAGCCCTTTAGGCTGAGGTTATGTGTTGAGCTAGGACTTGCTAAGATAATGCTTCCTGCGTCTTAATGATTTTAAATTTAAGGCCATGGGAAAAATCTCCTAACAGCTAATGTTTTTGGATGAAAAATGAAAGTTTTGGTGTGATAATATTTCCTTCCACCAAGATTTCCTGTTTGTAGTTTACAGTGGGTAAAGTTTACAGCGGGTCCTGTCGGGTCCTGTCCTTTGCAGTGTTCTTCGCTCTTTGCGTTTTGGAAAATCAACTCCTGTTAAGGAGTTGCCATACTCTTTTTCAGGGAGAGAGGCAGCTGCATTTTAGTGGTGAATAAAGCAATTCCTTTTTCAATAGCTCTGTTAACATGTTTACATATCAGAGGTGCTTTGGACTCGTTTGGGATGCAAGACACTCTGCAAACGCAAAGATGTAATTATCCCATTTTTCTCTTCCTACTCCCTGCCTTTCTCCCTCATCTCCTCCGCCCTTTCCTGAGCATTGTGCTGATGGCAGCGTTTATCTGCATTTGTCCTCTGTCCCTGACATCCAGTTATTGATTGGCATGATTAAAAAGAACTGATAATCACTTCACATTAATCCCATAAATGACTTAAGACACCAAAATATTTGCATAATGCATCTTAAAGGTGGCAGCTAAAAGAGGATAAGACCCAAAACTGCTTGGCACAGGAGAAATGGGCTTCCCACTCACCTGTGGGCTTGCTTAAGTAATTAGCCTTCTGCTTGCATAAGGAGGAATCTGAACTGGTTTAGCGGAGGAAGATGCAATGGGTGCTCAAAGGCTTTGAGATCTGAGCATCCTACCTCAGTGCTGGGATTGTGGGGGGGGATCTGGAGCCAGACGCCCGCTGAAAGTACCTCTGTCTAAAGACTTTCTGTCATAAACTTATCTGATTAGCAGAGAGCTAGACGACAGATTAGCCCCTGCTTCTGCGCTAGGGACGGGCTCTTCGGAGCCTTTGAGCAGATCCGCTCCTGTTGCTAGTGCTGATAGCCTGTAGGTGGGGAGGAGGTAAGGGGGGCTAAGAGGGGGGGATATTTAAAGGAAGATCATTGCTAGGTAATTCTGCAGATAACGCACCCTCGGGGTTGCCCTGCCGGTCCCAGGTGAGGACAACTCTGCTCTGCGCCAGTGAGTTGGTGGTCATGTGCTGTGTGTCCCAGCGGCCCAGAGTGGGTGCGCTCGCCATGTGAGTAGAGGTTGGAAGGGAGCGCAGGTGTTGGGGGGGGCTGTCTTTCTAATAAAGGTAGGTTTTTTGGTGAGTGTGTCTGTTTTTTCTGGCTGTCCTCTTCCATTTAGAAAGAGAAGAGGAAGAAAAATAGCTGCGTTTAGCTTGGGGCAAGCACCTTGTGCTGGAAGGAAGGGTGATTTAACATGTACTGCAAACCAGAAGAGGGAGATGTTCCAGTGTTTCCCTTTAGATATGTGTATGTGTTTTTAGCTTGTCCTTCCTCTTCAGTGTTTGTATATCATTTTTTCAGAAATATTCTGCAAGAGGATAGGGGTTTGCAATCCAAAGCGTTCACCAGCTGAACACTAATGTCTGCTACAGTGAATGTCTTTTTGTATTTATGCTCTCCCCCTCTCCCATCCCACAGAAGGAAAAAAAAAAACAAAAAGAAAAACAAATAAACTAGCCTACTTAGCAGCAATTTGATGCGAAGATAACAGGCAAAATAACATTTAACCGTTCTAATGCATGTGCTTGTCTCAAAAGGAAAAAGGCATTTTTTCAGGATCTGCTAGAGCGATGAGTTGAAAATTAATTTGGTAAATAAGTTTGTGCCCTTATCTATGGGTGATGCTGATGGCCAGGTTCATGGTGGATTTCTTTCAAAAAGGAAAACTATTTACTTGAAAAATAAAGCAGTATCATGTTCCAACAGTGATGAAATGGAAAAACTTACCTTCTTTAGAACAGAAGGGTGGCAGCTGATAGAAAACTATCAGTTATTTCAGTTCAAGTTTCCTATTAATTTGGAATAGATCTGCCAATTCCTACACTTCTAGTTTTTTCCATCTGAGATGTAAGCTCTGGCCCACGCAAGTTATATCTGGCAAAACTGAAATCAGGAGCTCTGGCAGCTGCAGCGTCCTTTATGCGAAATGGGAGTGCTGTTTGGAAAGTGCTTTACTCTTAGTCTCCTTTCCCTAAAACTAGAGGAGGTTACCAGGAACCTGGCAGGTAGGAGGGGGAAGAACCTTCCTTGCAATACAGAGATGTCGGGGGTGGGGGGGGGAACAAAAGAAGCTTGCGCGCACGCTTACGTATATACACACAAAAATCAATTATGTGGTGGCAAATAGGATTTCCTTAACTTGGTGCTTTTCTGCTCTGTTGCAGCCGTGATAACGACCTCTCCACTATCATCTCCAACCTGCATCAGAGCCGTCAGCTCGTTATGCCAGAGACCCAGAGCCGTTGTGAATTCAAGAGAAACAGCATTGACGTTGGCTTAGGAGCAGCAGGTAAGCAGCCAGAGCAGGTCCTGATGGTTTGGGTTTATGGACTTCCCTCCTCTCTCTCTCACTCCCTTTTTTGTTTGGCTTTTCAGCAGCTCCTGTTTTTTCTGTGGCTCCTCACGTTACGCTTCAGAGTGAGCTATGTGAAGTCTTGTAATATTCTGGCCAAAGATTGGCACGGAAAGGATTTCTTGGTGATGTGAAAGTGGTGCAGTCTTTTGAGATCTCAGCCCTGCTTTATTTTCAAATCTATTGGTCTGTGTTAAACTACTGGCAAAGAAGATTGCTCCAGCAAAGAAATGAACTGTCCCCAGGGTTAGTGTCCACTCAAGCAGAGAGGCCTTGCAGAGAGCGTGGTTTGATTTGTAATTTCATTAATCAGAGGTTCCCCACGCTGCCTCTGTGCCTGCCAACTGCTCTCTAAGTATGTTTGCTTGGCTTAGTACTGCTACCTGACCTTTTTTGGGAGGTCACTTGGCGACAACTGACTTGACCTGATGAAACCAGAGATGCTCCTCTTGGACTATGCGCAATGCCTTTCTGGATGTCAGTAAGGGAGCTATGGGCGGGGATGCTTTGGTCGTGGATGTGTATCAGTCAACAAGTGAGGCACTGGTAACACTGTAGAGATCTGCTTGTTTGCAGCATCTGTGATTTGTTTTTAAGAAGAAATAAAATTTGAGGAGAACTAGTAGTAATGTTAGTTTTTTATATGAGTGATCCCTGTTCTTCCAAATCAGAATTGGATCTCTGTGTGCATGTTAATATAGGCCTTTCCTGAAAATCTGTATGCGTGTGCTTTTGTGGATATGTTCTTGTAAGTCATTTCTGTTGACTGTGTAACTTAGCACAGGTGTGAAGGGAACACCAGGTCTAGTACGCTTGGGCAATGTCTGTGGAGGATATTCAGGAACAGTACAGGCGCCTGCTTTGCCTTTTGCCTGGGGCTTGACCTGCTTTCCAGAAACGTACTTCCTGACTGCAGTGAAACCTGTACTGGTGTGGCTGTGGTTGCAGCGCAGTGGTCCCGTGTATGTGTTTTGCTGATCTGGGGGATTTGTGATATGTCTATAAAGCAGCCATAGGCAGCTCCCCCTCTTTGCTTCCACAGCTGGATCTCCCTGTTCTCTTTAACTCCCCTCCACAGCCCCTCTTTCTACACAGCTGTGAGTGAGAGCCAAACCGGCCTGGGAGGTAAGTTCTTCTGTGTGAAACCTGGTGCAAGGAGTTAGAGGAGGGTACGGAGTGGTGGTCTCCTGGATTTTACTTCTGACTATTCTACTCCCTTTTGTGTGTCGCTGACTGAATTGTTTACTTGAGTCTGTATGTCTCGGTTGACCCCTTATGTTAAAAGTGTTTTAATGTTGTTCGCTCCACAGAGAGACTGCTGGGCTTTATCAGTGCTGCTGAAATGCTTTGAGATCTTTGGTGTTGCAGAAATGTAAAGGGTGCTTTTTATTCCTATCCATGTTAAGCAGTAGAAAGGGTTAGAGGTAGAAGTCTTCGGTCTTGTTTGCTAGAAGTTTTGAGGTTTTTTCTGGTTTGTTTCTGAGCCATAAGAAACTATAAGAAATATAAAGCACAGGCAGTGCACGCATGTTGAAGCAGTGGAGATAGCAGTGCTCTGGCTCTAGCCTCAATGAAAATCTAAGCAATGAAATAGAAGAGGACTCATCTGCACAAGAGGCCACGAAGGAGGTGACAGAGCCTTTTGGGACCTGATAGATTTGGTGTGTCTACGAAGAGTTGACTGCAAAAGAGTAGGTGGGGTGGTGGAGGGGAGATCTGGTAGCTAAAGGGGAGGAGGCATTGTCACGTTTCCGCAGGGACAATTTAACTCTGACTTTTTCCTGCTGTCTGGAGCTGGTTCGCTCTACATGCTTGTCTGATTAAGGGAAAACTAATTTGCCAAAGCCTACGCAGAGCCTGCCAGCTCTGGCTTTGGAACGTGTGCTGAGCTGGTACCTATGCCACCACTGCCTGGACATGGGAGTCAAGGGAACAGAAACAGGGTATGCTGGGCTTTGTAGCTGATTCTGATCGTTGGTTTTGTTTATTTTTACTGGCAGGGTGGAAGGGGAGAATGCTATAACTAGTTGCTGCGTGAATAATTTTAAGAGAGTTAGTGCTGGGGTAGTCTAAAAGACTGGCCGTTGCTTAAACCATTTAATTACAACAACAAGGGGAAAATAAATGTGCTCACAATTGTCCGCTATTTACGTTGAAGACCTTCAAGGATAAATGTTTAGGTCATGAGAATCCCACCCTCAGAAAGACATTTGGAGATGGACGACGGTGAATAAAAGATGCTGATGTAGATCTGTTAAAACTCTCACATATCACTTATGACTATAAGCTGCAGTGCATTAAGAGTAAATTGGAATCTGATGCTAAATGTTTTCCATTGCTGGTTTAGTGTATATGATTTGAAGTTAGGCGTGCAGTCCCAGCCAGTAAAGGCTAAACACTCCAGAGGCTGTTCTGCAGCTCAAACTGCAAATTCTGCAAATGCAGGATGAGGGGTTAGTGCAGACTACTAAAGCTTGATTCAGAAGTGTGTGTGGCTTTTGGGCTATGGTGGAGGCTAAGGAGAGGATTGAGAACAGGGATAGCGTGAACGGAAGAGATTTGTTTATTGTAGGACCCATGGGACTAAGAGGGTTGCAGTTGGCAGGGTTGGATGGTTTATGATTAATTCTGTGAGAGAGCTGCTTGATTTATAGTTAAAACTAGGATTAGAGGCAGCGCTATGGTTTAGAACAGCATGGATGTGAAAATTAGAATTCTTACTGGATCCTGAATGGTCTTGGAAACGCAGAAGAGGGCTGGAGCTAATGGAAAGTAATGGCTTACAGTTACCTCTGGTGCTCTTGTGAGTTCTGGGCTATGGGTGAGACCGGAGTCAGGGTTCGGGCTAGAGCTGGGCTGATGTTCGGGTCAAAAGGGGCTCTAAAGACTGATGTTTTGCAGGGTTGTATAAGGCCTGTGGTTGAAAAAGCAGCACTCGTGATTACCTCTGGAAGGCTTACAGTTAATTTTTAAGTGAAAATAGGTCTCTTTATAGTGATGATGATAGTTTGGGGAACAGAGAGACTGAAGAGCTTGATTTGGGACAGTAGAAGATGAAGAACTTATAACATTACTGAGCCCCATAAGGCTCAGATGGTGTAGAGGGTTTAATAAACCCACCTTGGGACAGTGTGGAGGGCTGGCTGTTTGGAACAATAAGCCTAGAGGAGATGCAGACTTAGGGCTTGGGATAGCTGGGACCAAAGAAGTCGCTGAATTTTGGATCTTGTGAGGCCCACAGAGCTGCAAAGAACCTGAAGTTAGTAGGGAGAAAGGGTAATGATATCTGTTTGGTCACCTGGGTGTGATTAAGACCAGTGCAGTGACTGTGCCATGTTGGCAAGTTTAGTGTCTACAGAAATCAGGACTAGTAAATCTGAGAGCTACAATGCTTTGAAAATATGTTCATCATCAAAAATGAAAGGGCTGTGGCATTGTTAGCCTACAGTGATAGAGGGGGGGAAAAGGGATGTATTGCTGTGTTGCCAGAGAATAAAGCTTCATCAGAAATGTTGGACAAGGTTCGTAATGCCTTCCACCAGTTTTCGGGTGCATTGTAGAGGTGCATGAGTCGATCAAGGCACAGAAAGGCAAACAAAATTTGCCTAAGATTGTAGAATAAATGTTAACTGAATAACTGAACTCTGTTTGCTGTGTTGTCCTCCCTGCTCTCTCTGCTAGAGCTCTCTGTTGGTCCGCTGTGCGAGTCGGAAAGATGTGAGTTGAAGCCAAATTCTAGAGATTGAGAGTATGAGAGGTGTGGGGTGGGGGGGTGTTCCCCCATGCTAGTGTGTGTACTGAAGCAAGAGGTCTGGAAAAGAATTGCTGACAGCTTAACTCGTTTGAAGTGACCCCTGATATCGGGCCTCTAAAGGAAACAAAAAACCACCAACGGCAAAGAATTACAAAAAAAAAAAAATCTCTCCAGCCAGTGCTTTTTAGTAAGACATCTGGAGCCCCGGAACTGGCAGGGCTAGCTGAGGCTTCTGCAAGGACAGCAGAAGTACGTGGCTGAGAGGCTTGGGCTGATAAAATCTAATTGCCCTATCGATTGGCTTCAGAGCCACCGTTGGCTGTGGTAATGATTGAGATATTCTTATGTGTTTGATGCATGTTAGCTGTATCTCGCTGCTCTGGGTCCACTGGGGACCTTAAGATATTATAGAGATCTCTTAATCAGGGAGGCAACTTGCATGTGTTGGGTCTGTTCTGCAGCACCGCAGATCTATGACAATTATTATCACTGATGCACTTGGATTTCCTTAGGTCTGGGGTTTCAGGGAAGAGCTGTCCTGTCTGTAACTTTGAATTCTGAACTGGCTGATGAAATCCATCTTAGTTGTGGTTTAGGGTTTATGCGGCATCATATTCCTTGCATCTGGCACTGTTCTTTCCTTCTTGTCCGGGTTGAGTGTTTACAGCATCTTGTTATCGGACTTGTAAGGGTGGTAAACTTCTGCCACTGCTGCTTTCTCTTCCTTCTACGACTGGAGGTGCTTGTGCTTGCAAAACAGAGAACCCTGGTTTCTGTAACCTCTGGATAAATGTCTGTTTACCAAATGGTTGTGCAAATTTCAAGTGTGCAAATGTTAATTCCACCACAGACCTAAAGAGCAGTAAATTCTTCTGGAGGATCGGGGAACGTAGCGTAAAGGAAGGGCACTTGCGTCTCTGCTAGCTCTGTTGCTCTTCATTGATCAAAATGATACCCAGCTCCTGTCTTGAAGTCTAGGTTATATCTGCACTGGGCTTCTATCCAGCTGCTAGGTTTAATCTCCTCCTACTGCTCTGGCCAGTTTTGGATCTGATTGTTTTATTTCATTATTTTTAAATCTAGAGCTAGCTAATCCAGTTGCTGAGAGGTAGGGTTGGCTCTTGGGCAGAGAGATGCTCCCTTTGGAGGAGGGTGAGAGGTGAGCTACTTCACCTGAGTGCTG